ACTTACAGAAAAGCCCTCTGATGGAGAAAGTGCCCCAAGAGCCCATCGCCGGACTGGGCAGTTGGAAAGTGGCCTTTCAGTTTCCTTGGCCAGTTTCTGTCCTACCCCTGGCCTACCCATGTTCCAGACAGGGGTCTTTTCTTTTCCAGCGCAGATATTCCCCTCGCCGGGCAGGAAGCAGATTTCTGTCTTAATTGCCTGTGCAATTAGCGTGCTCCTAGGGTTGACGCCATCACCTGGAAAAGCACTTTGGCTAATTTGAATTTAAGAGGCGTTCTGAAATGACAGAGGACCCTATCGCGAGGGTCCAGGCACCCTCTCATCACTCAAGTGGCAGCTGCCAACCGCAGGCTTGGGCTGGAGAGTGTCTGCAAAGCCATCCACAGCTCCCCACGCCCCTGGAGTGGTCGGGAGTGGGGCCGGGGTGCAGGCACAGGCTGCGGAAGAAGGCAGCTGCCAACAGCTGTCAGGCCACCAGGCAACCGGAAACAGAGCCACATCGGCCTGCACTGAAACTCAGGGAGCTCCCTTCCGCGGCGGACCGATGTCATTGTCTTGATTGGAATTTTCCTGGGCCACCAGCCAACCCTACTTCCATCTTGCCGGCCTAAGCACCAAGAAGGTGCTTTTCACCAGGCTGCTGGAGAGCCCCGCCTTCCTTACTTGCTTCCACAAGCTCCTTATCAGAGCAAAGCACAAAGAAACGACTCCACGAACCAATGCTGCCTTGAAATCCAGGCAAGAACGCAGGCGTGGAGGCCCACGGGGGTACCACCATCCTGAGCGCGCTGTGCGTGGGGAGGGTGGGAGGAAAGAATGACCTGGGGGTAAACCAAGCAGGCACACTGCGCGTGCGCCTTGCTCATAGTTGGCTCTGAAGGCTGTTGGCAAAGGGCGGGAGGAGAAGGGAAGAGAAATGGGCCAATGTGCTTCCGTTTTCCGTCACTAGCCAGTTGGCCTTGCGGGATGGACTCACGGTGTCAGGGTAGACCTGTGCTCCCAGGGGTTTCAGCGCCTGCTTTTTTCAGAACAGGCCTGTGAGCCTTTCTTCCCAGGTTTGGGTTGGCTTGGATCCTTTGGTTCCCAGCCTGTTACCTTTTTGCACCACCCAGGGATGCTACTCAATCCCTGGAGATCCCAGACTTGTTCCGTAGAAACATCTGACCCACACCCCCTGGTGGTGAAAGCGAGAAACTTAAAAGGGCTCCTTTCAGAATCAAACTCTCTCGTGCATTATGCCAGTGTCTGCACTTGACTCTCTTTCCCAGCGAGTCTATACATTTTTATGGGAATAAGCTGACCAACGACTAGCCCACACTATGCTCCTAGGCTTCCTGGCTTCCTTCCCTCTCTGGTTTCCTTTCTGTGTGAAGACAGCCCTATTGCAACACTCCTGGTCTCTCTGTTTTGTCTTACACAGGGGATTACTGGGGCTTAATCTATGGTGAATTCTGCAGCAGGACCTAAACCCTGCCTGTCTCTCTTCCCCTCTCCCATGGGAGCAGACAGCCCCCAGGGGTCAAGTCTTCTGCGTGCCCCTCATACTGAAAATCCCACCTGAGTGGCCTCATAACTTTATCTAGATCAGCGGTTCTCAACCTGTGGGTCACCCCCTTTGGGGGTCAAACGACCCTTTCGCAGGGCTCTCCAGATTCATAAGTGGCAACGAAAATACTGTTATGGTTGGGGTCACCACAGCATGAGGACCTGTCTGAAAGGGTCACCGCCTTAGGAAGGCTGGTCTAGATGGAGAGGCTTGCCCACGTCCACAGGGCTCTCTTGCTGGGTAGTGGTGGTGGTTTTAGGTGCTGTGGAGTAGATTTTGACTCCTCATGACCCCATATGACAGAATAGAACTGTCCCCATGGGTGAGTCTATAGACGGGGCTTAGTTTGTGAGCCCATCTGGCTCTCACACTAAGCTGCTTACTCCACACTGTTGGGGGAGGGGCATGCTTGGCTCCACCTGTCTTGCTGTTGTCAATGTTACGTGCCATCAAGTCAGCTCTGACGCATAGCAGTTCCGTGTACAACAGACCAGAACACTGCTCCGTCTGGGCCATCCTCACAACGGTTGCTAGAGGTGAGCCATGGCTGCAGCCCCTGTGTCAATCCCACTCATTGAGGGCTTTCCTCTTTTGTTGCTGCCCCCCTCCTTTATGAATCCTGTGTCCTTCCCACGGAACTGGTCTCTCCTGACAACGTATTCAAGCTCATGAGACAAAGTCTCCTCATCCTTGCTTCTAAGGAGCATTTTGATCGTACTTCTTCCAAGACAGATCTATCCATCTTAATTTTCACTTTATTTTTGAATTGGTTTGAAATGCAGATGGAGAAGAGGGATGCTAATTACTGGGCTTCCTTAAGTCCTGCAGCGCACCTCTCCTTAACAGGCTCAACCCAGCGTAGGAAGAATTGATCCCCCTCTCTACTCTAGGCAGGAAGCCGTTGGTCAGTAGATCTGGCATGTGTTCACAGTTTCCTTTAGTCCCTGGAGCAACATCACTAGATTTATGATTTCCCAAGATAAAGAAGCTGAGTGGGAGAATCTGGGTTAGATAGGGATTCACTCTCACTGGCAGGTTGACCTCATGAGAGTAGCCAGGAAACCTGTCCTTGGGAGGGGCTCTGTCCTCCTTGCGCACCCACTGACTAGCCTGGTGACTTCTATAAGCGAGCAAGTCACTCTGAGGTCTGCCCTTTCTTGACTGGTAGTGAGCCCTTTCAAATCCCAAAGGCCTTGGAAAGAGAAAGGTGGGGAGGGGAGTGATAGCAAAGCAGAGGGTCTATCTGCAGACCTGACTCCACTGATGGCCTTGGGGAAACAGGTCTCCCGCTGAGTCGGATGGTTCATGTTTTCAGCTGGGCGGATGCGCCACAAACCCTCAGTATAGCTGGACAGGTTATGCTTTGCACAATTCCCGGGGGCACCATCATGGTACGACATAAATGGTCATTATAAATTCATACAGTCCTTACCATGATATCTAGTACAGTAATAAAGTATCTTGAGGCGGGGCCTCCCTTCTGAGCTCTCACAAAACTGCCATTTGTATTAGCAACATGAATGCTTAAATGTCTTCAGGACATGCCTTTCAGGTCACAGCAGAGAAGCCCGAGACCCTAAGGGAGAAGAGACTTCTACCAGGTCCCAGAGTAGCTGGTGGCCGAGGGAAGGTCCGAACCTCGTCTTCCATGCTGTGGATGCCCAGCTCTTTCCGTGCTGCTGTGACATGCATATCACCAGAAGGCCCCCAAACTTCCCAGTTCCTTCTGGCAGCATTGGGGACAACATCCATGCCCAAGTAGACTTCACCTCCCTCGCTTCCTTTCCCCTAGCCATGGGAACACCACCAGTTGCCTCCACCCTCTCTCTGCCCTGTGCTTCTCCCCCATCTTAGTCTTACCTGTTGTAAACTGGGTGGTCATGGGATCGCTCTCATTGGCCCCTCGGACCGCACTGACCGACACCTCATAGCGAGAGCCAGGCCGCAGGGCCTGCACCGAATATTGGCTCAGCGGGGGTTGCAACCGGAAGGTGGTCTTCCCACCTTCTCCGCCCACCAAGCCATATTTCAAGAGAATGAAATCGACTTTGGCTCGAGGCGGGGTCCATTCCACAAAAGCCACGGTGTCGGAGACATCTCGGACCAGGATCTGCGTGGGCCCGTCAATAACTGAACGAGAAGAATCGAACAGAACAGAGTTTGATTGAGAAATAAGCTTTCAGCCTCAGTTCCTGCCTCTCCTCCTTCCTGTCAAAGAGAGGATAGGACTTGTTGCTCCACTTTACAAAGGGGGGAAATGAGCCCCCGGAGATTAAGTTTCTTTCCCAAGGACACACAGCTTGACAACAGGGGAACCCAGGCTGAGCTACCACACCTCCAGTGTTCCGGTTAGCCCCACGCTTGTTAGCCATTTGTGTCAAGTCTTTGTTGAGGCCCAAATGTGTGTCTGGCTTTGAGGATCCACCAGACAGTCCATGACCTTCCAATATATTTTTTCTTGTGTATCAGCGGGTTTAAGTAGGTTTTTCTTCTTCATTACTACCAAATGTTGACTGAGACCAAACCAAGCCAGGCCTCACTGCCATTGAGTCAATGAAGATTCACAGCGACCCCTGCTGTGGGCTCCTGAGCTTGTAACTGTTCATCGGCGTAGAACGCCCGTCTTTCTCCCAAGGAGCAGCGGATGGTTTTGAACTGCTGATCATTTGGATCTCAGCCCAATGGGAACTGCTACACCACCAGAGGTTTATGTTTGTTTGTTTGTGTTTTAACTATTTCACCTTTCGGATGTTTACTCTGTCCTCAGAATGGATGGCTCCTGGAGGACTATCTCAGACTGCCCGGTAGCTCGCGTTCTCGTCACTTTCTGTTCCGGGACCAGCCTGGTCTTCTCTCCGGAGCGGCTTACAAGTTTGGGGCTGGCACCAGTCAACATGGAAAACACCAGGCCATTTTGGTGCCCCCTGGGTAGAAATGGAAAAGAAGTCCCAGGTTTTATAGTTGGGGCAGGAATGCGATCAAACAGGAGCCCTGGCGGCAGAGTGGCTCCTCCTCGGGTTACGGTCTGCAGGGTCGGCAGTTTGAAACCACCAGCAGCTCTGTGGGAGAGACTGGGCTCTCTACGCCTGCTGACAGTTAGTCTCAGAAACGCACAGGGGACCGGTTGCTAGGAGCCAGCATTGACTCAATGGCAGCGAGTTTGTTTTTTGTGGTTGAAGGCGACCAAGGCGAACACATCCCCGGGCTATCTTGTCAGCATGCTGCCTTGGGGGATCTTAGAAGACTTGGGCCCGTTTCGTTCAGTGTCATTGAATGATGAAATGGAAGAAATGGGCTCCTAGCTGCTGTGCACATAGGATGCCCGGCACACAGTAGGCATTCAGCATGTGAGAGTTGAACGCATGAAAGAGTAGATGCTCTTCTATGAGGAGTCTCTTGGAGGGGGAGGGGAGTTGTTATCAAAAGGCAAAGGTCCCAATAAGTCTTTTGTCCTTCAACTCTTTAAGTCAGAAGAACCCCATCATAATGGAATGGCCATCCCGGAATGTGATTATGGAGGGCAGAGGGCGCTGGCTGCGGGAGGTCTTGTCATTTGCCTTCACAGAGTGGCCTGCCAGGAAGAAGCTTTCTGAGAGCCCGAGCAGGGCTCTGAGCTGTGCAGGGGGCGGGGATTTGGTGTAGGTCAGACCTTAGCAGAAGGAAGTAATTAAACAGTCATTTCCTAAAAACAGCCGACAGGGGTGGGAGCCTGCCACCCTTCCTGTAGCCACCCCTGGGTCCTGCCCTTTGGTTGGCAGTGATGTCCTGCTGCAGACAAGGAGGCACCCGCTTGCTTTCTTTCAGTGTAGGCCCTGACTTCTGAACAAATGCAAGTCCTGCTCAGAAAGCTAACTGGAATGAAGTTGTTCTTTCCATTTCCTCCTGACTGCACACAGGCCAAAATAGTCACTGGAAAAGGTTTGCTTTCCCCCCCTTTTGTCTGTGTTTCTTTCCTTTTCTTTCTTCATTGGAAAGAAAATCCTGCCCAAGCTTACCATGCAGTTCTAGATCTGGAACTTTTCATTTTCACTTCCAGCAGCTTCCAAACCAAAAAGTACTGTGAATTTTATTAGGTTGTGGTTTGACCAGAAGAGGAGAGCAGGGCTGGACTCCCTGGAGAAGTCCTCCCAACATGGGGGAGGAAGAGCGTTAGACAACTGTGTGTCCTCCTCTGCCCTCCCTTGAACTTCTCCTTCTCCGCACGACTTCTTAATATCAAGCTACAGGGATGGCTGGGAGATTCGGAAACCATGATACATCAAAAGAGAAGAATGTGCGTTCCCAAATGTCATCTCTTCAGGTTCAGCAGTCACTGTGGCGGACTGAGGGGTGGGCAGCATCTGGGGAAAACCTTGGGGCATTGATGACATCTGGAAAGATCCTCCTCAACACTGGAGCTGTCACGGCCACTAACCTTTCTGATATAAACATTTTGGAGTAGAACAGTAACTTTCTAGCTTTTTTTTTGCTTCTTGATGCATTAAAAACAAACCCCCCAAAACAAATTCCTCAATGCCTTTACAAATACAGAACAGACAGAAGTGGACTTCCCTGGGTAGATGGACCCCAGGGCTCCAAGGAACACATACCAACACCACAATCAATGTCGACCGATGTTTCCTAGACGGAACCTAAACCTCATCACCTGATGCTCTTTAGTTGGAAGCCAAGTCAATGCACGGACCACCAATCCATAAACATGGTGTCATTACATAGCATTGGGGTTTCCTTCTCTGGCCGACTCCGCTTTTTCTCCTGGGCTCAAGGGGGCCTTCCTTGATTGTCAAGTTCTATTTAGGAAAAATAAAGCGGTACCAATGTGCATCCATCTCAGTTTCCGTTATTGATGTGGAAAGTTGTTTCACCGCTGAGATTCAGATTGTCCATCAATAAAATAATGACCAAGGATGATAACAGATGCCATTCACAACTTTGGAAAAAAAATTGTAAAAAAATTTTTGAAAAAAAGTCTTGGTGAGGATGCATATGTGTGTGCGAGTGCTCACGCACACACACATGTAGATGCACATTATAATTGCTCATTTCAGAATTGAAACTAAACATCCTTTGCTAGCTAAGGAAATAACAAGGTAAAAACACTATCCATTTGCTGAATCATGAATGAGATGAACTGTGGGGAAGAAAGAGTCATTAACCTAAGCTCTTACCTGGAACATTGCCTAACCTACACCTACTGATTGATTGTAAATGATCTGGCTCCTGCTTTCACTTCTAAGTGTGTTCTCTGGGAATAGGTGCAATTACCAAGTGTCGGGCTCTCACTCTCATCAGCATAGTATTCATCATGTGTATCCTTAAATCACCTCAACAAACAAGGGGTTATTGTTCCTCATTATTGTTCTTTATAAAAATATTTTTACTGGCGTATACTCCACATAGCATACAATTTAATTGTGAAATCACATAAAGAAGGTTTGTGCAACCATCACCACAATCCATTTCAAAATATTTTCTTCTCGTCTAATTGTTATTAGTTCCTTATTTTCTCCCATTCTCCTCTGCCATGCCCCTACACAATTATCCATCCAGTTATTGTCTCTACAGTTATACGTACTTTGGATTTCATATACAGAAAACCATACAAAACACAAGCAGAACCCAAACAAACAACAAAAATCTAACAACTGGACAAGACATAGAAAAGCCTCAATTATAAAGATACCAGGAAATATTAAAAACTGAAACGACTTTAACAAGGAGTCAAAAGGGAGATCAAATGATAAGGATTCACATTTTAACCCATATACACCTGTCAAATTGAGTTTGCAATGCTCCGTCTGATAGCAAAGCTATTCACATCCCTGGACTGTGGTCAGAGGGAATTCAATGGAGGCTTAATCCATGTGGGGATTCTGCAAATGGGTTTTGGGTTTCCACCTTCATCTATAGCCTTCTGCAAACCAGATGTTCACAATTTAAACTCTGATACTAGTCCCTCCTTTGCATTCGGATTTTACTATTTACAATCTTTGGATCACACAGGCTGGTGTGCTTCTTCCATGTGGATTTAGTTGATAGTCTCACTTAGATAGCTACTTGTTTGAAGACCAGCCTTTAACAACCCCACATGCTATTCTTTCTGATAGTCGTCTATCTGAAACCAGATAGCCACCTGGTTTCTTCCCCACACTTTGCTATAGCACCCATATCTTCAGTGATTTCTTCGTGGAGGCGAGCATTGATCAGGGCCAGTTCCTCTTTATTGTTCTTGGATGAGGCTGAGTTCTCATGTCACTGTCCCAAATATGATAATAGGCAATTAACTCTTGCTGGGTTCCAAAGTTCATGACTCTAGGGATTGACACACGAGGCCTATGATGAGTAAAAGCAGATGAATTACACTGGAGTAGGCACTTCCAGGTATCTGTGCTTTCAAGGGGAACAAGTAGGGAAGATGCTCAATTTAGCCGTTGTCAGAGTAGCTCCATCCCCAGAGTACCTCTCAGACCTGAGAGGAATCTTAGGACTCATTTGTCCTTCTACTTCTTGGCAGGTTCTGCAGTTCTGTGTTGTGAGTGAGCCAATAGACAACAACAAGATGAGCTAGCACACTCACCAGTGGAGACGCTGGCTGAAGTTGGAGGGCTTCGGGCTTGCTCTTTCAGTGCTACCACATTGACAGTGTACTCCTCCCCAGGCTTCAGTCCCGTCTGGTTGAAGGAAGTAACATCACTGGGGAGCTGGGCAATCACCCCTCCTTCGTTGTTCTGGCAGACAGGAGGAAGAGAAAAGCAGAGAAAGTAAAAGAGACCATCAGCGGGAGAGAGGTTTGATGAGAAAGGTGGAGGCCTGGGGCACTGACTGGGATTACGAATTAAAAAGGGGCATGCCTGTTTCTTCCATGCTGCGGGTCTGGGGCCAGGAACAATTCCCAAGAAGTGCAGTATCATTACCACCACTTTATGAGGGTTTGGCAAGTGGAGAACACATTTTGGAGAACATTTCTTTGGCCTCTCGAGTTTGTTGAGTTTGCCAATTAAAAAAAATTAGTTATGAGGTGATGCAGATTGCTGAAGATGAAATGTCTCATGGTTATGGTTAACATCCATCAGCTATTTTTCTTTCGGCATGTCTCTTGATAAGTAATGCCCCCTGGCTGTTAGGAAAAGTAGAACTGTGAGTGCATGTGTGCGAATATCTTTATAGACACATACATGACATTTCTTGTTTTATTTTTGGTTATATTTGGGGTTTCTCATGGTCTAACCTTGGGCAAATCTATCAAATTTTATTCCTCCTCCCACTCCCCCACCCCCGCTGATAAGTTAGGGCTTAGTGTCACATTGACTGTGGCATACAAAGGGAAGGAGAAGGAAGCAGGGGACAGAGAATCGGAGAGAGGACAAAAAGGCTGACGGAAAGGGAAATGGAAGACCATCTGATGATGTTGGGTTCAGGTGAACTTTTTGAGGTGTGTCCCTGGAAATGGAGGAGACAGGAGGGACCTTTCATTGGCATGCCCTTCTCCCCTATTCTCTGCTCTCTGTTCCTGTCACCTCAAGTCCCCTGTGTGTAATTTATAGTCATACTCTTATCAACCAGCCTGATAGTTGTTCCCCAGGGGCCTCAACCTACTGATCAAGAACTGTTTCTCTGTGTGGCCCTGTGATGAACCTTGGTCTGCCCTGGCCATTCCATCTCCTAGTCAGCTTTACACATTGGACGTAAAACAGGAAACCACCATAGTATTGGTCTCTTTCTACTTGTGTGTGTGATATGATTGTTTCTGCCATGTTATATGTTATAAACCCAGTTGCTTGCCTGGCTTTGTTGGTCATTTCAACTAAGATACTATGGGAGACACTGGGTGGTCCCAACGGTAGAGTGGTCACCTATTAGCTGAAAGGTCTCCGTGAGTCAGCATGGACTCGCTGGCAACTAGCAACAAGAACTCATGTTTAGAACATATTTGTAGAGGATGTTTGTTTACAGGGATCTGGCTTGTCCTGGTTGAGTGGACCAGGTTCTTCATGAAAGGATGGATTCTCACCATAAGCTGTGTGACAACATTTAAGTTGTCTATTTTGTAAACTAAACCAAACTAAACTAAGTGGTTATGATCAGAACTAAACTAAACTAGACTAGGTGCAAAATAAGGTGCAAAACACATTCTCAGAGCTTGAAGGTCTTTTGTAGCTCCTACAGTCCACGACTCTAAACATTTTGCAGCAAAAGGGGTGGTAAAATTACACTCCTATTAGCCAAAACGATGCCATCAGTAATTAACGATGACTTAAGTCTGACAAATGACTGCTGAAAGGGGCATCTTTGATACTGAAGGATGAAGACACGAGTACAAAGTGACCCGCAGGCAGGAGACAGGGAGAAAGAACCGGGGAAGGTCAACACATGCAAACTCGATGGGCACTTCCGGTAACTTGGAAAAGTTAATTTTGGGATTAGCGAAGTAAAAGACTTTTCTTTTAAAGAGTAGAAAGGATTCTGAGCATAATTTTTAACCCAAAGACTCGCAACTTAATTGATTCTATGAGTTTTCTCTCAACCGATTAAGTGCTTTGTGTTATGCCTCTAAGCATTAAGAGATGGAAATGTTGCAAAAAGTGGGCTCTGGGGGCAACTGTCTATAACAGAATGGGGCAATCATTCGGTCCCATTTTTCTTAGACCCTCAAGGTAAGCCCCAGCCTTTTGGGAGTCTGGCCTTCAGCTGGCTACAATCACAGCGAGGCAGACTGGGGTTTTAGGGCAGTGACCTGTGGAACTGACAGCTGCTTCCTAAATCCTGGTGCTACTCAAGACCAGCTGCTGGGTTTGAGGTCACTTTTATTAGTCAGTCATCACCACATCTTTTTGAAAGAAATGTCCTCTAGCTCAGGAAACGCCACTGCCCTCTCAAGGGAATTATTGTTGGTGGACGCCATCACGTCAATATTCTACGTATAGCAATCCCATGCGACAGAGTAGAACTGCTCCCACAGGGTTTTCTAGGCTGTAGATTTTTATGAAAGCAAATAGCCAGGCCTTTCTTCCTTGGAGCCACTGGGTGAGGTTGAACGCCCAAGCTATCCATTCTCAGCCAAGCACTTAACTACTGTGCGACTAGGCACATGGTGACTTTCTTAATGCCATAAAGGGAGCCATTAGATAGCACCATCCTGGCTGCTCCTCATTCCAAGTTGGGCGTACAGATCCTCCAAGCGCGTCTGGCAGGCTGGCTCAGGGGTGGGTGTTACCTTTGGGATGAAGCTGATCTCCCAGCCATCGAAGGAGAATGCGAAGGGCTCCCACTGCACCTCCACGGTCGTTTCGGTGATCCTCTTGAATTGTAGCCCTTGAGGCGTGGAGAGATCTGGAATACAGCAATGTTAGTGACAAGGTCAGGGCTGTCCCCAGCAGGCACAAAGAGCATCACCTTGTTGAAGTCCCTCCATACCATGGCTGTGGAACGAAGTGGTGGGCGGAACCCCCATCTTATTCTGAATGTAAGGAACCCGTTCCTGTGGCTCGGTGCTCAGGGTTGGTAGAACCAAGGAGCGAACTTAACAAACCCAATCGAAGGCACCGGTTTTAAGCCTTCCTATTACAGAACGGGTTAACATTAATATGAAAAATGTATTCATATGACCGATGGAGTAATCTTGGGATTTAACATGCCACCTTCCTTCAGAGAACTTGAACATGGTCTGAGGAGGCTTCCCAAGAGGCAAGGTCATGTCCAGCACCTGTGGTCTCATTCCATGCACGGGAAAGGGGCGGGGGCCCAGAGAGTTGGCTACAGTGTAGAGCAAGCCATCATCTGGATTAAGACTGGGATGCTTTTTTTGAGGAGCTGATGTGCATTAAGAGCATTTTGCTGAGTTTGGAAATCCAAGCCTTGGCTGATCGGGGGTTTCGTTCCCTGTACACAGGCGCATTAAAGGGACACACAGAGGACAGTAGCAGATGTTTGAGTGTTTGCGCTCTCCTCCCCTCCCCTCCAATTGCTCCTTTCCTCCCCTTCGCTGGTTCTTCTCCCCCTCATCGTCTTTGCCTCATGTTTCTTATTTTTCCTTCTTTTTTCTTCATCTCTCTTTCCGCCCCTAACCCTTCCTGCCCACCCCCACCACACATACACAGATACATACACATACACGTACACATGCACAGGTTTTGTGAGGTGGAAGTATGCTTGTCCGGATGGAGTTCCAATTACCAGCCCTGAGGTATGATAGCATGCCTTTTCTCAGTCCCGCAGGGAGCCTGTTCTCATTGTAGCTTCACCTCTCCTGGGATATTCCCATTGGAAAGCTGACAGATTCTCATCCCTCCTGTATGGAAGCTTCCTGGTGCTTTTTGGAAGAAAGGTGGGGCTGAGTGGGAACTCAAGTGGAAGGCTGTTAGGTGAGTTTGCATGATTTTGCCCCTGTCACCTGGGAGCTTGCTGGAGGGGGTGCCCTGAATTGGCAGCATACACGCCACCGGAGGTGGAAACCTCATCACTGCCTTTGACTGTAGATCAGAGCGGAGAATTTGGGAGTGAGGCTTGGCCCTTGCGGGGGTGGCTTATCCAGGACAAGGTGGGAAAAACAGTAGATGGTGACCTGCCTCCACACACAATCCTAGTAGATCCTTCAATCCAGTTTCAGGCACCAGAGGATTAAAAAAAAAAATCAAACATAAACAGAGTTAATTATAGACATGTTGTCAGACATTCATAGGCAAGGTCCAATATGATAACTGGATTTTTGCCTCCTGGAAAGCAAGGGGCAAAATGGTGTCTCAAATTCTTCCCTCTCTGCCTGACCCTATCTAGAGGAAGTATCCCACAACCCCAAGTCAAATTCTGGGGCCTCTACGAAGCTTTCAACAGCCCACTCTGCCTGGGCTGGGCTGTCTCTTTTCTGAATGCTGCTGGCATTTGTGATTATAAATCATCTCTCCATTGGAGACTTTTATAAGATGGGCTCAGGTCCCTTAGCGTATATTTCCATTTGCTGACCCCGGAGCTTTGTGAATGCTACGGGGCTTATGGCCCCGTGGTCCCTTCTTGTTCCTGCTTCCTGTCACTGCTGAAGCTCTGTCACTCGTTGTCGTTCACCTCCTCTAGAAGGACTCTTCTTTCTTCCCTTATTTCCCTCCCCCCAGGCTTCCTGCCTCCATATGGCATGCGGGCATTTGGGTAGACGGCAGACAGGGCAGTAGGTTTGGGGGCATGAGGTCCTAGGGGCGTCCACACATCGCACAGTTCTGTGGGGTGAATGTCTTTGCACATCCTCCCTCCTCTGATATTTGAAATGCCTAAGTGATACAGGCTCCACAGAACAATGTCAGAACGCCAAAATGTAGAAAGAGATAAAAAGACTGCTGTCCTGCTTTTTTCTCATTCCACTTTCTGACGTTGTCGGGGTTAGTAATTAGTATGAAAGTTTTGTTATTTTTCTGCACACCCATAAACCTATCCGAAGTCCACAGGCTCATGTGTAGGGGCTTTCCCCTCGTGTTAAAACAAGAGAAACTGTCCATTTTCTTAAGGAGGACAGTTTAGCTTGCCTTCTGGCTCTCTTTCTATTTCTCCTTTGCCCATCGCATTTTTCTAAACTGTGTTCTGGAACCTGAAACTTTAGGGTCAAAAGGACTATTCACAATACCAACAAAAATGAATTTTTTTTTTAAAAAAAGGGCTGCCAAGATATTTTGCTCAAAAAAATACCCTGAAGAAATTATGCTATTTCTGGTTTTTATGTTAAGATTCAGCCCACCCCACCCCCCACCCCCAACCTCTGCAATGTGTAGCCGACCATTTAGCATTTGCTCGTTACATGTCGGGTTTCCCATCTCCAGGCTCTGAATGCTTAACGAGGGCGAATGTCCGGCTAAGTGTCATACTTCAGTTGGTTTCTAATCAGAGTCTAGATGATAACTCAATTATCAGAGCTCTTTTTGTGCTTTGCCACTCTAATGTATGGGGGCTGCTGAATTTGGAAGCTTTTAAAGTCAGAAGGTTTGTTTGTTTGTTTTCCTAAGTGGGTCCCTTCCGAAGCCTTCCCCCTCAAACGTGGTGACGTGGCAGGCATCCCTGAAGAATTAAGAAAAGCCACCCCTCTCATGAATGCCCATGATCTCATGTGAGGGAAAAGAAAAAAAATGCAGCAGGAAGGGGAATGGTACGTACGGGTGGCCACCTTGGCAGTGATGGGAAGGCTGAGGATGTTGCTAATGACAGTGTAGACGCTGATGTTGTAGGTGAGACCTGGCTCCAGCTCCGTGACGGTGACACCACTCCAATCTCCAGGCACCCGCTGCTGGAGCTGGAGGCCCCCCCGGGTCATCGGCTGGTAAGAGATCACATATTCCGTCACTGCCATCGGCCCGTCCCATTCCAGCTCAATGGACCTGTCGCTGATACCAGCCACTCGCAAGTCCTCTGGAGGGGCAACTACCAGGAGGCAACACACAGATAGCATGAGCTCAGAGGACTGCCCTCCCAGCTTGGACTTCTGCACATCTCGTCCCACATGCCCGGTCTCTGGCTTCTGCTGGGCTCAGTGGCCTTGAGGACTTAGTAAGTCCCTTTGCTGGAAGGATCCCATCTTTCCCTCACCGCCATGGGGTCCCAGGCTAGTGATGTGCTGGGACCATCGCCTAAGGGCTCATGAAAACTGAATGTTAAAATTTTAGGGCTTTTACAAGCTGGCTGTTAAACACTGCTGTTGTCCTTAAAGATGACATCATATGCACCTAGAACTGATTCCATTAGAAACCAAGATAAAAGACTCAGAACTCGTCACTTCCAAAAAAGCTCACTGAAACGGACGAGTATCTGTGTGGGGGAGAGGCGAAGTCACTGTGTGCTCCTGCACACCCCCCTCCGCTCCATTCTCGATGACGTCGGATTGGCAGCATGGCGTTGACAGTGGAGGAAGTGTTTGCACAACAGAAATTGGTGAATGCTGCAAATTAGAGTGTTTTTATGCTCTCGTCTTTGTAGAACCAGCTGTTTGTATTTAATAGCACACCGCTGGCCATGATTTTGGGTAGATGGAAATAAAGGGGAATTCTTTGTTACCTTGTTGAAGCCCCAGTGGCACAATGGTTAAAGTGCTCTGCTGATAATGCAAAGGTTTTGCTTAGAACCCACAGCTGCTCTGAGAGGGAAGGATCTGCTTCTGCAACGTGCGACAACGCTGGAAACCCCATGGGGCAGTTCTACTCTGGGGCCACTGAGTCAGAATGGACACATCGGCTATTTTATTAAGTTTAAGAAGCCCAAACCGGAAATCCTTTATGCCCTGGCCTGATCAAGATGGCCGATAGCCTCTTATGGTAGCATTTTCCCTTTTAAAAGGAGATTGCTTAAGTTTTGAAAGAAATGTAATGTGGGTTCCATTCGTTTTTGATCTTGGGATCAGCTTTGACCAGCTTTGATACTGGGAGCAATGACAAAGAATCATTGTTGAGGGCTTTGCTTTTCGCTCTTGCCTGACTTCTCAAATCCCACTCAAAGAGTTTCTGAAGCTGGAGCCTCATGGACATAACCTTTTATTCTAACCCTGACCTTTGCCAGCAGTGTCCATCTCAAATAATCGAAACCTTAGGATGAATTAGGAAGCGAATTCAAGTGCGTCTATAATTGGACCTGCCTAGATCAAATGAAAGATTAGGTTCAACATTTGAATGGTCATATTTAATGTATATGTTTTTATGGAGTGGGGCTTCAGTTAGTTTAACAATTGTCACCAGCTTCTCTTCTGGGTAGTCTCACTTGTTCACCATTATCACCACTAACCCACTTGTTCACCATCTAGTAGGACTAGATAGGACAGGTCTTTCCACAGATCCCTGGGAGTGGAGAGTGCACCCCCACATCCCCAGAAAAGACAGAAATGGAGAGCTCTTCAACTAATCCCTGATCAGGGATAGGAAATGAGGAACATCTATTATTAGTGTGTTAGAATTTTCTTTGGGTGCTCTTGCCCCCAACTATTTGTTAGCTAGAACAGTCTAGGAAGCAGCGTTTCCTATGATTAAAGATGCCACATGCTGACTAGAATATGCCATTCAAAATTTAGTTTCTTTCATTTACAAAACAGAATAGGTTTAAGTAAACTTAAATGCACAGCTTTTGTAAGTTTGCATCATTTAAAAGACTCATATTATGAAAGCTTAGAACTGCAGTAGGAACCCTTGGGACAGTCTGGATGCACACAAAAGGGCTCGTGGACCAAGGGAAGTAGAATAAATATAATCTGCTGGTAGGTTGCATAATTTTATTGAACATTTGTAACAGGCACACGGTTTTACAATCCACACTCCTAAGTGGATGATCTCATTTCATCCTTGCACCAAGACCATGGGATGGGTCTGATTTTTACTCTTATTTGACAGAAAGGATCCTTGGTAGCGCAGTGAGTCACATGCTGGGTGATAACCACTAGGCAAGCATTTCAAACCCACCGGTCACTCCACAGGAGAAAGAGAGGCTGTCTGCTCCTATAAAGATTGATAGCCTTGGAAAACCTATTTAGTGTCACCACCAGTTGGCATTGACTTGATGTCAGTGGGTGTGGTTCTTATTTTATAGAGAAGGAAGTTGAGTCCTATAGCCCCAATCATAGGATCTAGGGCTTCAACCTAGGCAGAATGACTCTACAACTTCTTAGCCATTACAGGATGCAGTTTTACATTTATATAGCCCCTCATAGTCTATTAAGCCATGTTTGTACATACCATCTAACTAGAAGTTAACAAGGAGATCTTTTAAGTAGTCCAGTCAATTGCGTAGATAAAATAATTCTAATTTTACACTGGGGAAATGGAGTCCTTGATAAAGGGACTTTCCAGAACTCTGGGAGTCAGATCCCAGTGGGGGTGACTCTCCAACCCAGATCTTCTAAGTGCCATTTTCTGGCCCCCCCAATTTGCAGAGCAGACCACAGACTGTGTCAGATGTTTGATTTAATTTGTAAGCAGTCCTCCAGACTAAGCAACATTAGGAAATAATTTGACCAGCTTAGAGCATGTGGGAGCATGTGATTCCCAGGCTGGGGCTTTTCCTAAGGAAAAGACACCTCTTTTGAAAACACAAACAAAAACAGTGGTTCACCAGGGCTTGCCTAGTGTGATTGAACACTGACTTCTGCCGTTACAGTGACAGAAATGGCCACCCCCAATACCAAGCCTCTCATCCACTCTTATGGCAGCTGGATCAAGTCGGCGTATTCCCTTTTGATTGCTTCTTCCCAGAAAACAAAGCTAATAGGTGATCTGAGCAGAGACTTCTGTCCTTTTGAAGTAAAAAAGAAGTGCATAAAGTGGTTTTTAGTTTGGCTTGAGAACCTAGTGCTAACCGCTATCTTTGCTCATGGCGGGAGTGCTCTTGGGAGCCATACCTGCAGGAAACGGCCATCACAATGTGCCCTGTCACTCACTGGTAGCTGTGCCTATTGGATCCAGGGGCACGGGTGGTTGAAATTCTCCTTTTCCACTCAGGAGACTGGGGTTTGATTTGACAGCATTTTGTTCTGTTGTGCGTGGGGGCCAAGACCGGCATACATTGAGTGATCGTAATCCTTATAGCACTAAATAATATTGAACTACAAATCAAATTATCAAAGAACCAAAAGCCTTGAGTCCATGCATTTACGGGGTACAGGAGGATTCTTAATCTTAATCTCTTTGCGGCTCCAACTTTGAAAATCTGGAAAGAGCCCATTGGCTTAAACAGAAAACAATTGCATTGTGTCGTGAGGCCTCCACGTTGCTAATCTGCAAAGATGTCACGTCGTGGACTCACTGGAGTTGCACAACTTCTGCCCTTGTGTGGTGGAAACCGTTGGAATTAGTGCTCTGATGCGCTTTCTCCAAAGAGCCCGTGAGTTCAGTTCAAAGGGCAGTGGGCTGGAGGCAGTCCTGGCAGCGACTGACAGAGATGAATGTCCACAGGTCTGACAGGAAGTCCAGGGAACAGGTTTTTGGATTGTCCCAAGGCCAGTCCCACGGTTCTTTTATCCTGCTGACTGGCCAGGACTTTGGGCTGGTGCACTGGCCAGCTCCCACACTGACCACCTTTAATGGGCAGAGGTGGACAACTGGTTTAATGTGTGTCTCTATCTCTTTTCTAACATGGAGTTTTTTTTTTTTTAAAATATCATTAGACAAGGTTCAGCTTTCATATCAAAAGACCATTTTATAAAAATGCGTGTGGCTGTGGCTTTTAACACTTTTATTTTTTTTCCAATTCTCTTCTACTCAGCATCAAGAGAGGATTAAAGTGTGCTGGAAGCAGGTAGGAGATCAGGGCTCTCATTTTTGCTTCACCATTAATTAGCCTGTCTGGCTACCGGGGGTGGGGGTGGGGGATCTCTGTCTCTCTGGGCTGCTGCTCTTTAAATTTGTAAAACGAAAAGCCCATAGTAGCTTATTTCTAAGGCCTGTTTTCAAAGCTCACATGTATGATGTTTTTGTTCTGCTATATTTACATAGGGAGAGAGAGAGCTGGAATGGCTGACATTGTGTCCCATTGCCCATGATGAACAAAGATCAAGGCTAGGGGTCAAACGAAGTGGCCTTGCCAGCACTGTTCAATTACGTTTAAGCTCAAGAGTCCGAGGGCCATCAGCACGAAATCCACACAGTGGGCAGCTATTTCCCATGCCCTTGCCAAAGAGAGGAGAACGACCTGTGAGGCAGTCTGTTTTGTGGCTCCCCATGCCTTCTCCATTCATCTGCCCCCTTCTCTCTCCTCTCCTCACTCTTGTAGGCAAGGGGAGTGGTAGCATTGTAGTGTGTACATCTGGCCAGAAATGTCAAACAGTGAATAAATAGCTCCCTCTCCTTCAGCCTTCTTCCAGAGAGCAAGCAAAGTAGCACTTTGGATAATGACCTGGATACTTCTCGGATAGAAACCTGTGGTCCTTGGTTTGAAAGGCAAGCATTAAGAGTTGCACCTCCTGCAATAAATGGTGGCCCCAGGGTTGCTATAGAAACAGATGGAGATTATGCAGCTGTCCTTCCCCATACACTTTGAGAGTCTGTAAAGTAATTCAGCTGGGCCTACAGGAGTCTTCCTCGAACAGCACAGAAGTGTCATTTTGGGGGTGACTTGTGTTCCTGCTTTGGACTTGACCCAGTTGGAGCTACATTAGCACCTGCGGAAGGGCCCCTGGTGGCTCAGTGTTGATGGTGGGCTCTGATCCACAAGGTCCGTTGTTGAAAACCACCAGCCACTTCATGGAAGAAAGACATGATAGTCTACTCTCATAAAGGGTTACAGGGAAGTTCTACCCTGTCCTATTGGGTCGCAATGAGTCAGCACTGCCCAATGGCAGTGACTTTGAGGTTGCTGAGTTTTGAGTCATCTCTGAGGTGACCCTCAGGGTTTATTTGCATCTCTGTTTCCACTCTAGATCAAATCCAAATCAGGGTTCTGTTTGCAAATGGATCCACCGCCCTAGAAAATTGGGTAAAACAACATGGTAGATAGGCTCAGCCTAACAATGAATGACCGACTTTGCTGAATGCCCCCCCCCCCCAACAGATGTGGCCCCAAATTATCCTTAGCTTTCTCCAGTTGAGGACTCAGATAGTCTCTCGGGACTAGCTCACCTTCTGAGTGGGAATTCACAGTGCTCTTCAGCCGGCTTCTCCAGTAACAGCCTACTGACTTTGGATTCAGAAACAATAATGCTTAATATCTGCTTAGATTTCCCATTGGGACAATGGGTATGATAACTATGTTTTTAGAAAGATACTTCAATTCCACATATAAAAGGTTAAAGGAGGTAATTGCATACGGCAACAACCACCACCAAAGCCCTTACGGACCATTTGTTTCCCCCCCTAAGAAAAGCGTTATTTTCTAAAAAAAAGAAAAATATGGTTTTAAAAAGTCAAAAACAGGTACTAAGGAATCCTGGTGGTAATGTCAGTTAAAAAACAACAACAAACCGCATTATTGCTATGATTCTCTTCACTGTTGCCTTTGATGTCGTGGGGAGCATTTAACTTGAAGTCACACGTGTAGCAACCTTGTCTTTGGCTAGTCGGCCAGCCAAGTAGAAACCGCTGGTGGCTTAGAAGAGCAGAAGCCTGGAGAAGCCGTCCTCCCCTGTCTTTTCTCCTCAGCGTATGTCAGAAGGCTGATCAGAACATTCCCAGAATCCCTCACCCAGAAGGTCTATTCGTGATTTTGTTTGTTGTCCTTTGAAAGATTAAACATCTTCCCAGGGGGCACCGTGAGCTTACTGTGACCGACTAAAGCCTAGATGGTAAGGGGATCAATTGCTTAATCTGTTTTGTTCAAGACACAAACAGATGTATCAGCGACGGGCATTGAATTGTCAGAAGAGGATGAGCAAGAATGAAATGATGAAAATAATATGATTTTAGAGGGGGAGAACTCATCAGTGACAGATTGGTACCTTCCTCTCTTTGACTCAAACCTCCGTTTTAGGACTGTGCTTTGGCACCCGTTTCCCCCAGTGTAGACCATCTCGGGCGCTGGTCCAATGTGCTATAAAATCGCTGGGAACAAGGTGAGTCATGTCCTTTTAACAATCGGTCCTAATTGTGCGGATTCGAGTCCCTGCTTGATGCTTTTACTGCTTTATTCCCGTTTATATTTCACTTCTGGCCTGCAGGTGCTTTCTCCATGTGGACACACTGGCTGATCTCAATCTGTAAGTTCCAAGCGAACCAGAGCGCCTCACAGACCACCCACTGTCTCACACGCAGCAGCCTCCCTGCATGGAGCACAGCGGCAGACGAGGGAGGGGATTTGGGGCAGGCAGAGTGCTCAAAGTCCTGCTGAGGTACAGAAAGGGCTCACATCAGCTTGACCTTGACCCTGTCTGGACCCCCAGAAGCGCAGTGGAAAGTGACCGTCCCCACCACAGCCCTTGTTCCAGTGCTTCCTGAGCTGAGGCTCTTCTCATCCCGGCCCTGCCCTTCCCCACCTCCAGTTGGCTGGCTGGGCCTCCCTCGCCAAGCACCCCAGAGAGTTCCCCTGCCTACCTGCGGAGCAGTCGGGCCCATGGTAGCCCTCTTCACAGAAGCAGAGACCCTCCTGGCAGTGCCCTCGCCCACTGCAGGCGTTCAGACACCGCCTCTGGCTGCAGTCCTCGCCAACGTAGCCCTCCGGGCATAAGCAGGTGCCATTGGTACATGTGCCCTTCCCCGAGCAGTCCCCGGGGCATCTCAGCTCGCTGCAGTCCTCGCCTGTGTAGGCCTCTTCACAGACACACTCCCCATCCACGCAAAGCCCTCGGGAGCTGCAGTCAGTTGGGCAGCGGAGCTCCGAGCAGTCGTCGCCGCTGTAGTCACTGTCACAGATGCACTGGCCGTCCACGCACACGCCCCGGCTGGAGCAGCCCAGGGGGCAGGAGGGCTCTGAGCAGTTCTTGCCAATCCAGCCTTCGTGGCAGATGCAGCCACAGGACTCGAGGCTAAAGTTACCGTGGCCGCTGCAGTGAGGGATATAGTCCAGTTGTCCTGGAATGGTCAAGGAGAAGGTCAGAGGGCAGTAGGAGCCATCCCCTGTGGATTGGTGCATGCAGAGGGTTGGGGGAGACCTCCCCCCCACTCCCTGATCAGGTCTGTGTGTTGGGAGCTAAGTTGGGTATAGATTCCATTTAAGAAGTAGCCTTTCACCAAATAAATATGGGCTCTCTGCACCTCGCATTGAGTTGGGGCAACGGTGAAGGGGGAGCTCACTCTCCTGGTATCTTAGATTGGGGCTCTCTAGAAGTAGATATTAGATGAGAATCCGAGGAAGTGACTTATTGGAGACCATTCGCAAGGGAACACAAAACCAACCCAAAATTGACAGGGAAAGAAGTCGGGCAGATTGGGAATGCCTCAGCCAGGATGCATTGTGGGAGAAAGTCCCTTGGAAGGTAACTTGGGGCCATTCTCACAGGGGCCTCTGGAAACACCATCCACAGGTGTTGACTGTGGGAGTGAAAGGGACCAAAGGGTCGTGGAGTGAGCAGCGGCAGAGCCTGCCTCACAGAAGGTCCCGGGTTACACTCACACCCTACTGCATCTCCTTCCTGCCTCCTGGCTTAACACTGCCCGTTCATCAGAACTCAGCGCCCGAATCACTGCAAAGGCTCTTAGAGCCTTGGTCTCATTTAGCTACTGTTGACGGGGGTCCCTTGAGAACTCCATACCTATCTTTGTTAACTAGATTTGCTCATTGATCTGCCTCGCACGATTCAGACAAACTTATTAAAGAAATACAAACCGAGTACCTGCTTGGCATCCTTCTCTGTACTTGGTCCTGAGATAGGAAGACAAGTGAGCTATTGAGTTATATCCTTGTTGAATTTTCCCGCTTACTACTGCCCCTCCCCCCAGTGGCCTGAAAGGATACAACACTGATATTGCTCAACATAACTCTTCTCTGTAGATTGGTATCGTGTTTGCCAAGGAGCCTGGCAGGCGGCTGGTAAAAGCCCATATATGGAAGCCACCTGACTTCATAGGCAGCAAAGTGCTCTCATCCACGGAAGGGCATGACATGTCTTGTTCTCCTGCTCCATTACAAAGGCGGACTGGCCTGACAGTTCTCACTGGGGAACAAGACACTCAACAACTGGACTCTCTCCTCTGGTCTTCAGGTCGTTTTTCAATGGCTTTGCTTAATGGGGTGGACCAGGAGGTGGGAAGAACCCATGAAACATTTCCCTACTCAAAGTTGGCTCCTAATCTTGGCATCTCAGGGTGAATGTATTCTGATAGCTCTGGACAGGCTGGTGTCCCAGGTTCTGTTGAAATGCCAACTTTGCCACCCCCTACATTCATTCTGTGAGAGGCTCGAGGTGTTGCAGGGGTGAAAGCTGGAACCCAGCGCAGTAAGACAAACGCCTCACTGAAAAACGGAATTGAACGAATCTAACATCCCATTTTTGGGTGAGAAAAGCTGAAGGCCCTGAAGGAGGCAGATTCAGTTGCTGCTCCCTGGTGGGCCAACGAAGGCAACTCTTTCTTGTACTTCTGTGGTGCCAAGAAACCACTCTCTTCTGAATAGATGCTTTTATATTTCAGTAACTCTCCCACCATTTTTGTACATGGGGACAGGAGGGTAGCTTATTTAGGCCACCAAGTTAGTGGGGCGCAGAGTCAGGGTGTGAACTTGAGAAGCCTGTCTCTGAAGACGTAACTGTTTATCATCAATAGGTAGAGATAATAATTCATAAGTATGACTGGTTAACGGGTAGGTAAGGCTGGAGGAAAATCCTCTGAGCATCCAGTCTTTTGTCAGGGTAGGTGTTGGATAAGCTCTGTGCATGCATTCATGTGAATATGTGCACATGGTATGTGTGATCATGTGTGTGCATGCATGTGCACATGTATATGTGTGTGGTGAGGCTGGGGAGAAACCTTTTGTCTGGCTGGAGAAGATGGGGACAGCTCCTCTGAGACCTTAATGACTATCATTTACAGAGATGGAAAAGAGGCTGCGATTGACTGAACAGAGAGCCTGCATTCTCTAGTTCCCTCAGGTTAACATGGATAGATACCAATTCAGCAGCCTGTGAGAACCAAAGATGAATGAAGACAGACATCAAATCCCCACTCGCCACAGAAGTTGCTCTGCTGAACCGATGTACCATTCCCTGACTCATTCTCCCCAAATCAGGTTAATGTATTTCAAACTGCCTCAGCCGTGCTGAGAATCCCTGGACGGAACCCCTTGGGAAGGAGCATATTTAGATCTTAGAGAGGGAGCTACAGACTAAGGCACTTTTTTTTTTCTGCACGGATTATGAGAAGAGTTGCCGAGTTTCTTGGTGAATGCATTGCTTGCTCTCCTTCTTGCTCCCTCCCTGCTCTGCACCTTCTCTCTCCTCCTGAGACCAGGGCTGCAAGTGCCCCCTGCCAGCCTCCAAGAGACACTCTACCTGTGGCCGCACTTTCTTGACAGCAGTTGGTGTTGCACTGACCCCGTAGCATGGACACCTCTCGCTCCAGCATCTCGATTCGGCTCAGCAGCTCCTGCAGCACCTGCGTGGAGCCAGCGCATGGGCAGGCCTTTTTGGGAAGGTTGATCCTGTGAGTGAAGGTGACCTGGCTCTCATGGTCGGAGGTCTGGCCTGTGTACTCAGCCAGAGCCTCGTCTTCAGCACTCAGCTCCTGCTCGGCAGAGGCCTCAAACCCTGAGGAGCAAAGGCTGTCCAGGGGCACGTTGATGTTGTACACATGGTTGAAAACCATGGGCTGGTCTTTGCCGGTGGTGTTATAATTGGCCACACTGCCTTCCTCTTCTGTCGCCTGTCTCCGGACTCGTTCTGTGGTGACTTCCAGTTGACATTCTGAAGGCTTGAGCATGGAGCCCAGAAGGATCAAGTTGACACCAAGAAGCATGTTCTTCAGAACCACGGTTTCTCCGTCTGCCCCCATCCTTTTAGCCAGCGCACCAGGTTCAAGACCAGCCTGCAACACACAGCATGGAGTTGTGGGAATCTGAAAGAGAAACCAAGGAACAAGAGAATCTCTGAGATCTAGCACGATGGTTCTACTCCATGCCACAAAGCCAAAAATAGACAGCTAAGGATTTTCAAGCTGAGGACAATGGTAGAATTCTCACCTTGCAAGCAGGAGACATGAACTTCATTCCTAGCCAATAGCCTGGGTGACCATCACCTGTCTGTTGGTGGGGCTTTGCATTTTGCTATGATACTGCACTTGTTTCAGTGGGATTTTCAGATTAAGGGAGACTAGAGAGAAAGGCTTAGTGATCTACTTCCAAAAATTGACCAATGAAAAGCTTAAGGGTCCAATGGTCCAATTTGCAATCAATTGTGGGGCTGGTGCAGACATCACTGTAAGCTGGGACAGCTGACCACAACCACAAAGATCTTCAGGGGTGGAGGTTGAGAAGAAAGGTCACACCAGGGTCATAAAACCCCACGACTGTGAGCCCTAGAGAGATGGAACTCTGAAAATGACCATTGCTTCTACAGAAGGCCATTTGTTTCCTGAAAAGTCATATCTAACGAACCAGTGATTCCAGCCAAGAGAACACACAGCTCTTGCCTGGAGCTCGGTGCATAGGGTTTCTTCTGTGGCGCGCTCAGGACTCCCTTTCACTTCTGACTGAGAATTAGGATGAGAATCAGGTGAAGCTTCTGTTGTCCCCTCACATTGCTCCAAATCTTTACTCCTACCAGATGGTCCAAAATAAAACTTATTCGTAAACTCCTCTGACCTCATCTATTCCATACAGGTGGCTTTTAGAATAACCAACCAGGCAGACAATGTAATTCCAGGTCATCATGGTGGCTCATAATCCCGGGGTACATATGTGATCATCTGGGAACTGTGTGAGCGGAACATCTCTCAGTCTTCTCAGTGGTGTAATCTCAGTGCTCCATGACCACAGGGTGTCTGTCTTTCAAGGTCCTGTTTAAATGGCTACAATAATGAATTGGCTCCTTTGCTGGCTACCAAGTCACCAAGAACCACGGGGCACAATGTATTCATGATAGAGAGCAGGGGTCCTCAAACTACGGCCCGAGGGCCACAAGCAACCCACCAAGGGGCATTTATCGGGCCCACCGGGTGTTTTTGCCCCATTCTTTTTCTTTCAAAATTAGATATGTGCAGTGTGCATAGGAATTTGTTCATAGTTTTTTCTTAAAACTATAGTGCGGTCCTCCAACACTCTGAGGGACAGAGAACTGGCCCCTGTTTAAAAAGTTTGAGGACCCTGATAACGTGTCAGAAATGATATTCTTTTTAAATTCCGTATGGATAAGAGAAAAGCTCACTAACTTTGGTCCTAGAGGTAGTGTTAGAGCAGTGGTTCTCAACCTTCCTAATGCGTGACCCT